TTGGTTTGTTTGTTTTTGTTTTTTTTTTTATCTTGTCCTAGCTCATTCTGGCTGGAGCCCTTCGGATTGCTGACAAGGTGGAGTCGGGGAAGACATCGGTGGTTGTACACTGCAGCGATGGCTGGGACCGGACAGCCCAGCTCACCTCTCTCTCTCTGCTCATGTTAGACGGCTACTACCGAACTATCAGGGGCTTTGAAGTGCTAGTGGAGAAGGAGTGGCTGAGCTTCGGCCACAGATTTCAGCTGGTGAGTCACTAGCCCTTGGAAGGCACTGAACAGAAGGTTGTTGTCCACCCTGGAGGATTTCAAAGGAGTTTAGCCTTTCCTGTGAGAAGTCTCCCAGCTGAACTCACAGAAGAAAGGCGAATGCTGCTGCTATTGTTTTCTGCCTATAATTTCAGTCATCTCTTAACCTCCTTGGAGACAATACTGGTTAGATACGAGGAACAGGTGGTATTAAATCTCTCAGGTACCTGACTGATATGTCATGTTCCCATGCTTAGGCTATAACTAACAGTGTGCTTTGGGTTCAGGATAGGCATTTCTTCTGGGAGTTGGCAGAGACCAGTGGGGTATTTTTTGTCTCTTTCCAGTTCAGTCCATTTTCTGAGACTGCTTGGACACCGCCATCTAACAAATGCCTTGGTATTGAAGAGGCTGCGGAATTTGGTTATGGCTGTGATCTCACATTTTCTTCAGGCACATTTTACTTTTGGGGAGACTTTTAATTGTTTAGGTAAAAGATCAGCAGTTTGAGACTGGACTGAGAGTAGCTCGTGGTTGTGTTGGCAGAGAGGCAGCTTTGTGGACTTGTGACACAGCAGTTTGTTACGGTTTGTGCTGATGGGAATTGAGAGAGCCTTTCAGTAGAATCCCTTCAGTCTTTGTTCCTATTATTTTTGGCTCGTAGCTCTTCTCTTGTGGTCATTTAATTTTGGCAAGGGCTAGAACAAAGTCTGTTTACAGCACACGCAGTGATGGGTTGTGCAGTGAAATGCTCTGAGGAAGCTGAGGAAACTGAGGCATGAAACAACGGAGGTTCTGCTGCAGTAAAACTGTTACCTGGGGTTTGAACAGTGAGTACTTTAGCTTCCCTGTCTCTGCAAAGAAGTTATATTGATTTCCTTTGGTGAGGGGAGAACAGTATCACAGAAGAGGTTACTTTCGTGTTCTTGTTCTGTCTTTGTACGGTACCTAGGACTCCTGGGTGATATATAACCGCTAACGTACTATACTCGTAAGGAACCAGGCCTCACGTGTCTTGGCCACACAGCACGGTCAGGGTTGGAGGCCTCCTTCTGGGGATACTTTCATCACTGCCTCTCGTGAGGTGACGGGAGATGGGCTGGGTTAATGTTTGTACAGCGCTTGGAAGCTGCGAGGTGTTGTGTGACGGTTATCGCCACATGCCGTGCCTGTAGGTAGTGTTTAGATCTAGCACGCTGTACTACTGAAGTAGCCAGGACGACAGCTGCAACTGAAGCAAAAAGCATTCTCTTTTTTTTTTTCCTTCTGAACTTTAGCTATTATCTGAAATCACTGCCAGCATAGCATCTGGAGCCTCTACTCAAACAACTCTTGTTTTAATTTAGCATGAAAATATCCCCATAAAGAAATTTCACTTCAAAGACAAAGGGAATAGCTGTCCTCTACTCTATTACCCACTGATACGGACAAAGCAAAATCAAGACTCATTTGAACCTTCTTAAAGCTGTTGGTAAAGGCTCGGGCAACTGAGAGGAGACCCCGGCAGTTTCCCCATGAAGCCCTGTGCTCCTCATGTTCTTTGTCCTGCTCTGTTTCAGAGAGTTGGCCATGGAGACAAGAATCACGCAGACGCAGATCGCTCTCCTGTCTTCCTCCAGTTCATCGACTGTGTCTGGCAAATGACAAGACAGGTAAATTGCTGGGTGGCACACGTGTCCACAAAGCTGGTGGACCAAGATGTGGAATAATTTCCAAGCTGACCTGCACAGGCCCTTGTTCCTGGGCTTCTACTCTTGTTTTGACTCTGGCAACAAGTTTCTTGGGAGTCTGTTTAGCAAGGAGCCTGAATGCACAAGTGCACAGGAAGGCCACCATGTTTGCTTGCATCAGATTAGCTAGTTAGTGGGTGCTGCTTACCTACATGCTGCTATAATAAATGTGAGCTTGTGAGAGCAACTTGCCTTGCCCTGAAAGAGGGAACAGCTGCCCCACACTTGCCATGGGGCAGGAACAGACACCCTAGCCATCAGTAGCCCACTGAGCCTTCAGAAGCATAAGTGACTTGAGCTGCTAACGTGAGTCTCTAGCATGGTGGGTGCAGGCAGAACCCTGTTGCCTCTGCTCAAGCTGATCCTGTAACCAAACGTGCAGCAAGACAAGCGTTTGCTCCATTTTAACTTCTTCTGAAGGCAGATGTACTGCTCCTGATTCATATGTGATGTACAGGGCTGAGTTCCTCACTTCAGACCAGGCATGGCAGAGGCACAGTTCAGGAGAGATCCCCTGTGGTTGGGAGTTTTTTTCCCCAGGTACGTGGGACCTGGAAGGTTGTTTGTGTCTGCTGTGACACAAAATATCATATGGCAAATGTCAGCCATGGTCAGGCAGTTCACTGAAAAAATTAGGCTCATCATGGATTAAAACGGGTGAATGGAAAAGAAGGATGCCACTATATATGAAGCTCTACTGCATTCAAGCTGAGAAAGACAGAGACTTTACCATCATCACAAGTCACGTTCATCGTGCTCTCCTTGGAGTGCTACAAGCAGGCATCCTGCCCTGCAGCCGGTGAGGTCAGGATGTTGCAGCTGGGGCAGCCTGAGAAGGGTGGTTTGTGAGGGAGGAAGGCCTCTCGCTCTCCTCTCCATCACCCCAGCATTTCTTTGCAGTTCGCTGCATGTATTGTTCCTGACCCTTTGCTGGAGCTTTAGTTCTCCCCGTCTTGGGTCTGATTGTTTCTGCATGGAATGTCAACAGCAAACACAGCCCCTACCCCTCTTCCTCCTGCTGACCTGTGTCGCAGGATGCCTCCCTGCTGTTCCCTCTGGGAAGTGCCATGTTACACACACAGGTTATTTCCATTTGGCCCCGGGAAATTTCCACTTCTTCTTATGCATTATTTCACATGTGCTTCAGCCTTTTGTTCACAGTCTCGTCGTATGGTCCGTTATGAGCGGCGGGCATAGCAGAGCAAGCTTCAACTTGAAGCAGCGCTCAGTGTGTGTAAACACAGCGGTCAGACCCTTCAGACCTCTGGCTTTTGTTCAAAATTCCTCTCTGCACATGTAAAGCAGCTTTCCAAGAGAGAAACTCTTGCTTCTGGAAGGAGCCAATAGATTCTGAATATCCAGCCAGGCAGGGAACAGGGACAGATCCCATTTTAGAAATCAAGACGAGAGGCCAACTCCTTACCGAGATGACAAAGTGGGAGAAAGTTTATTTGCTAGTCCTGTTCTGAAGTCCCAACCTCATTTTCTGGTTCTGTCTGAAGTTTCCTACAGCATTTGAGTTCAATGAGTACTTCCTGATAACCGTCCTGGATCACCTGTACAGCTGTTTGTTTGGGACCTTCCTGTGCAGCAGCGAGCAGCAGAGAGTGAAGGAGGTAAGACGGCTTCTCTCCAAGGTGAAGGCCTGGTACTGTGATTGCTTTACCTGGCCAGATCCTGCTAGAAAAGCTTTTTCAGCACTCAAAGACAGTGGTAGATACAGCTCTGGGTAATGCCAAACCCCTTTCTTAACAGCTGGGACACGAGGTATTTTCCTCTCTGCACAAACTGCTGTCTGTTGGAGACTTTACATTTCAGACCAATAGCATTTCCCTCTGGACAGTCCGAGTGCTTTCAGCATGGCTTTCAGCTAACTCACTGGTGGCTGAACAGCTCCTGGTGTCTCCCAGGTAGTTGGAAATGCAGTTTTTCTTTAACTTTAGTTTAATATGACCTTCTCCGTGGAAGCTGGTAGCATTTTGTCCTCCCTTTTCTTTGAAGTGGTCCCTTTAGGTTGCTTTTAATTACCAAGGATGTGTCGTCATTCTGCACACAGAGGTTACAGCAAGTAACTGGCCTCAATGTGTATTCTTGCTGTGTTTGCCTTTTTCCGGGAGGGGACAGAGCTGCTAGTATTTGGAAGGACGTGCCTCTGGGTCCTGCCACAAACCAGCTCTGCCCTGCACTCTGGTCGAGGTTTGTTTGCCAAGGGAGGAGCATAGAGATGTGTACATTGAGACCCAGTCAGGAATCGGAAGGAAAAGTAGCGGCACTCATTCTGTCCCACCTACCTAAAGATGAAGCATTTTGTCCCCAAAAGGTTGCAGCCTGACATCGCAGAGGTGCATTGAGGACAGTGCTCTGTGGGTCTGAGCTGATTACATTTGATAGCACATCAGTTAAAAAATAAAAAATAAATTAAAAAAATTACTGTAATACAGAAGTGATAGCATTGTACTGCAGTGAAATCAGGGTCCCTGTTTTTCTAGTGTCCACAGTGATTGAGTAATTGTAATTTCCAGAGAAGAAAACCTGCGTGCTGTTTGCATGGGGGTTTTGGGGTGGTTTTTTTTTTAAGGCCTCAGCCGAGCCAAGTACTTAATCTAGAAAGCACTTCAACACTGGCTTCACTGGGACTGTTCACAAGCCTAATTATTCCACTAGATCAGGGCCTAAGTCAAATGTTTTCTTTTTTTCTTTGCAATTAAATACTCCAGCAAGTCCTCCAGGAGCACTTTAAAGATGTGAAGTTTAAGTAAAGCATTGAGAGTTTACATGCCAGTGTCCCCTTGCTCTGCCGACGGCGATTCCTGGTCCGTGTTGGCAGCGGGGTGGGTAGGAGGGGATGTTTCCGTGCCAGGGTGTGTGTGTGCCTGCCTGCATCTGTGCGCTTTGATTACAATAACCACATCAAAAGAACGTTTGTGTTTTGGTTTTTTTTTTAAGGCAACCAGCTCTGTATTAACGACAGGCATATGTCTATGCTGTTATACTTTGTAGATAAATGGGAAATAAAGCCTCCTCCACCCCCTTCCCTTACAGAGCCTTCCAAAAAAGACGGTATCGCTTTGGTCTTACATCAACAGCCAACTGGAAGACTTCACGAACCCCTTGTACGTCAGCTACTCCAACCACGTCCTGTATCCCGTGGCCAGTATGCGCCACCTCGAGCTGTGGGTTGGCTACTACATCCGCTGGAACCCCAGGATGAAACCCCAGGTACCTCTCCTCCAAGGATCCTACTTCTGTTTCTCTTTGCGCTGATACGAATCCTGACATTTTGGAGTTCAAGACCTTTGAAGCACAAGAGTTAATGGACAAACTTACGCTACCACTGCTTAAATCTAAACCCCAAACCCTAAATTCAAATGCAGGGAAATGAAAGAGCAGCGCCTACAGCTGGCTGGTGCGGGTGCTCAGCTGGAGGTTGCTGCCTTGTGAAATCTGCAGGAGCTGAAGATACTCTGCAATTTGGAAAATTTCTCCCTTAAAACATGGGGAAAATAATCTGAATTCTCTCTTCTTTACAAAAGAGCTTAAAACCCTAAGATTTCTTTGGATGTGGGATTCTAGAGAGGAGCTTTGGGGCTGTATTTAGATTAAAGGCAATAGGAACCCAAGCTTGGGCTGCCTGAGGCACGGGGGGTCTGACTGCGACCCTGGCTGTTACGCTCCTGAGCACTGACAGCAGGGAAACTGCTCACCCAGGGCAGGCGCCAGAGACGGGCGGTCCAAGCATGGCCCTCCACGCCGAAATCACTTTTTAATAGGAAGGGACAAAAATTCCTGGATTGACTCAAGTGTCCAACTGCAGTTAACAGAGCTTTGCAAATCTGGGGCATTGGATACAGGGACCCGACAAATGCTTTGTGGTACTAACTGCTTAAGAGTCAGAACTATGTGAAAAAATTTAGATCAATCTGTAGTTTTTTTTTTTTTTTCCCCCCCAAAGCCCTGAATTTATGTCCAGGCTGAGATACCAAGGCCAGTGTCCCCTAGAAATGTCAAAGATTAGAGTTCTGTAATTGTCATCTTTCAAAATAGACACTGCTTTGTTTAGCCACCTTTGCACTACGTGCGGTGGATTGAAAATGAGCATCCCAAGCCAGAGCAACTACTCACTTACCCCTGGGCTGGAGACAACAATCTAGTAAGGTCAGCGACAACATGTTGTAGTTCAGGTTTCCACTTCCATGCTTACCTCCCAGCACTCAGCTACACGTTTTCTTGCAGGAACCTGTCCACAATCGTTACAAGGAGCTTCTTGCCAAGCGGGCTGAGCTGCAGAGGAAAGTGGAGGAACTGCAGAGAGAAATCACCAACCGTTCCACCTCATCCTCGGAGAGAGCTGGCTCTCCCGCACAGTGCGTCGCTCCGGTACAGACAGTTGTATAATACGGACTTTTTTGTGCCAAGTACCTTCCCAGGACCACGGGGGCAGCTTTTCTGAAACCCTCTGGATTTCCAGCGTGGGGTCTGGGAGATGCCAATCTATTTATTTATTTCTTTCCAGGGTAATTTATTAGTACTGTAGCACTAGAGGAAGCTTAAGCAAGAACAAACAAACAAGGCCCCCTATGCAATTAACCTTCTCAGTGGCTAGATTATAATACAAGCTAATTGCACTTGCCACCTAAAGGAAACCTAGAGCTCGCTCTTTGTTCATTTATGTGCTGGAAATCACTTGACTTTAAAGAGAGACCATGCGCTAGAATGAAGTACTGCAAAGGAAAAACAGCTACTCAGAAGTTTGAAGAATCTCCCCTTTGCTAACAAGAAGTAGGGAATCTGACTTTGCTTTGGGGCCTAGAATACAGCTGTGAACTCATGAAACCGTCCCCATCGCCGTGTGAATGAGCGGTTGCCAGCATACTTAGGGACAAGCAGCGACAGCACCTGAAACATATCGCCCTTCGCCTGGCTTGTCCCTTCACCTCGATCATAGGAAGCCATGTAAATGATGCCTTATTTAAGGAAAGGGCAGCTTCTACCAATAAAACATGGTGGTAGAGGAGCAACCTACATCACTTGATGTTGTAGGGCAAAGTTTACTTCCATCTCTGTAACGTTAAGAGTCTCGCTTATGGTTTACATTGGGTGTGCCAGGATGCAACTTAAGCACTTTTATTTCTGAGGGGGGAAGCAGAGCATGGCTCCCTGGGGCTTTCTGCAGCTCCTCTGTCCTCCAGTGCCTCTGACTCATCAGGGAAAAGGTAGTGGAACACCAAGGGGCACGTGTGAACCGCTGGGATCAGTCATTTCACTTGGGTAAGCATCATTAGTGATTTTAATGCTTCTGTGCAGGATCATAGTGGCACACATAAGGTATTTCAGTTTTCTCTTAACTAATGGAAGCAACTGTGCATCAACCAAAGAAGCCTTTCCACGTACGCTGCTAGGTTATTCTGGTTATTTCTGCCTGCTACTCAAGGTTATTCTGGAGAGACTAAAACAGCTTAGCCAGTGTCTCAGCCCTAGGTTTAAGTCTTTTCCCTCATAGCATACTTCAAGAATTAAGTGGCACCTGACTAAACTTAAGTCCAAATTCAATTTTAATACAAAATTTTACTGTAGAAGCAGAGATAAAACACACACTTGGTGAAACAATGACTGCCCCATTGCTCTTCCAAACAGTGAAGTACGGGGTTGTAGGAGATAGGGCTTACAGCGAAGGAAGTTGTCTGCAAGGATCTCTACTCCAGGCTGCTTCTCATCTCCAGGCTAAGAAAGAGGGGCAGGGCCAGGTCTGGGGTCCTGTGTCGCTTTTTTATGACTGGATCCCACCCTGCGGTCACCTCTTTAATACACCCACAGGCATGCTGCTTCGCTCAGCCTCTCTTCCATGACAGAGAAGTCTTTTCCATGACAGAGTAGTCTTTTTTTGAGAGAGCACAAGAGTGGACCAACTCACACGTAAGGAATTGCCTTTCACAAAGCCACACTCCTTCCCAGGCAGTCACAGTAATTTCCCCCTGCAGCCTCCCTTTCCGCCTGCTCTGCTGCAGTCGGTGGCTCAGTACTTCCAGAGAAATCCACGGCCGCCTTCTGACGGAGTGAGTAACAGGCTGTACAGCATCACTGCATTTGTCATAGGGTGGCCTGAGACGTTAGAATCACACAAAGAATCCACACAAAATACCTTCTGAGGGACTTGGATTTGCTTTAAGGTTAAAGGGCAGATCTGCTCTTACGTACAATCACTAGGTAAGATGGTTCATAGCATTACTCTATATTAGCAACTTGACGATGTGTGTATATTTTGTTCCTTGATGAAGGGTGTTTGGTTTCCTTAACACTAATAAAAATTGATAAAAGGGTAAAGTTCCCGTGCTGTTATTTTCAACTATGTGGTTCTCCAAAGGCATTGTAGCACATGCAAGCACTAATAAAATAGCACTGAAAATTTAATATGTCAAATCCAACTCTCTTTCACTCTTCTGCAGATGGTCTTGCAAGATGTTAATGTTCAAACTCTGAAATTCAGAATGACAGGAAAACAAAATTCATCTTTGGACAAGCTTCTCTTATCCTATACAGACCAGTACTAATACAGTACATTGCTTAACTGCTCAATATTACAAAAATACTTTCACAATTAAAAAAAAAAAAAATCAATTTCTGCACTTCATAGTGCATTAGCACAGCAACATCTGTGTAAGAGGAAGAATCACGTTTTCCTATGTAACTCATGTTAAGCCCAAATTCCCTGGGATGATTTGGGATCAACTCAATGCCTGCTCCTTGATGCTCTCACCCCTAGTAGGCTTAATTCCAACTTGGGCACCTCACTCGCTGTATGCAGCACATACGGAGGCTAAAATACTCCTAAGCCCCCATCAGTAAGGAGCCCCATGAGGACAGCCTGAGGTAGCGCTGACGTTAACCCATCTTTGAGCAAGCTGAGCCCCAGAGGTCCTCCCCAAGCAAAATTACTGTGTGTAGTTTCAGCCACTGACTTCTCAGAACCTCCAGGATGAACTGCTCTCCCCGTGGTTACTCTAGCTACCTGATGCCCATGTCTCTAACCTAAATGAAGTTCCAGGGGATGACTCCAAGCTTGGTTAGCAGCTTCTGACTTCTCCCCTCACAGCTGAAACCTTCTGTGCCTCAGATGCAAGGAGGCAAGCAGGGTGGATCACCTACAGATAATTAAAACTCAAATCCCTTCTGCCTGCATTGACCCTATAGAGTTCCCTGCCTGTTCAGCTACAGGCAAGGGTGGACAACTGTGACTCTCCCCTTACTACAGCTTGCCAGCAGCTCATACTCATCGCCCCGACCAGGGAGAGGTCACAGCACCACAACAAGCACACAGGATGGGGCACAGTGCTGCAGCAAACACTGAGTTAGTTCAGCAGAAGTGCAGCTTTCCCCACAATTCATTCAACAGGCAAGCCGGCTTTATTATTTTTCAACTGTATAAATGGGTAATCTGGGTCTTCTATACATTCCATTAATAGGAAATTCTTTACATTATTAACATAATAAATAACATTTACTCAGCTGTGCAAGTCAGAGTGCAAAATGAATTGCACCACTACCAAAGTAGATAGCTCAAAGCACGTATTTTCAAGTTAAAAGCAAGATGCCAGGACTGAATGGCACGATTGAGGCACTTACAGGTTAAAACACAGGTGGTTTATCTCACTCCTTCACCACCCAAAGCCGTGAACTACGAGACAGGACATTATCCCCTATCCTACAGCTTTTTCATAAAGTAAGATTTCTGTAGAAAAATTTCACTCTTCAGACTTGAAAAAGAATTCAATCAATCATTAAGCAAAATAATTTAGAAAAGTTATTTTGCTCCTTTTTTGAGTATTCAAACATCCATTGCCATTAATGCTGACCAATGCAGCGTAGCAGAACAAGAGCGAGGAAAGCTGTATGAGGAGAGCTCCACAGAACACCTTGAAGAGGGTTTACCTGTTCTCCCGTAGGCACTCTGGGAGTCTGCGGAATTGCAGCTCACACGGAACAGAACCGACAAAAGCCCCTACCGCAGCATCGTTTTTCCAACAAGCTGTATCTCGAGAAGCCTCCCAATGCGCGGTTCGACAATGGCGTGACATCACACTGGTATTTCATGCACACCAACCCACGTAAGTGTGCAGGGCTTGGTGTGCTGAAAGAAAATGGAGGGACTGCTGGAACCATAACACGAAGGGAACTGGTAGAGACCTATGGTTAGATTCACTGCCCGGGTACCTTAAAAACAGAATGTGTTTTAAGCTAGACCATAATACATACAATCAAACCCAGGGATGGAGAATGAAGGGCCTCTATTTCAAAAGTGCACTTAGCATACAGTAGTCTCTTTCACATAGCAAGGAAGGCAGCTGCTTTATATCCCGAATGTGAGAATGTTTGAGCAGGATGGTTCCAGAACATTCCTGCAGAACAGTCAGTAGTCCCAGCTGATATCATCTTTCTGCAGTGAAGTCTGTAAGGTCTGCATGTCTCGCAACAACTGAAGGTTTTTCCGACTCTTCTCTCCAGGTTTCACTTTGATGGGACCAGCATTCTTTCCTTTTGTGGTTACAGTAGTTGTTACTTTAACCTCACTAACAGGGAACCTGCTGGCTTTTATTTGTTTAGCAGAAGTCTTTTTGGCCTTGCATTCTCTCTTAAGTCTCTCTAGCTGAAAGAGAAGCCCAAAGAAAAACATTAAGCAGTGACCTTGTTTCAGTTTATGTTGGGCAATTCTTCCAGACAGCTGAAATATCCCACCACTTATCTTACCCAGCTAAGCAAATGGATGCTCCCAAGTCACCCTGAATAATAAATATTTTATTTTCCTTACACAGCATTGCTATATTCACATCTTTAGAACTGTGTTCAGCTTATAGTCTGAACTACTGGGTCGTCTCTTTAAAAACTGACAAGTTCATTATGGGCGAATATCTCCATTAGGAATGTCATAGAAAAAGTTATATATGGCAAAAATTTGATTTGTCACTGTTAGCATCCAGTGATTAAGAAGAAAAAAAAAAAGAGAAAATAAATTTTTCTACATATGTACTAGTGATTTTATTAGCTAGTCACTGTCAGAGATGGGGGTTTAAAAAGCATACCCAACCTCTGCTGAGGTGAAGAGCTGGTATCCACACACAGCCCTATAAACCACAGCTTGTAAGACTCAGTACTCGGCAACAAAGACTGAGCTGGCATAAGCCTGAATGGGGAACTGGACAGTCTGAGGTACAGACACATTCATGCTCCAAAACCCCAAAACCAGCGGCTTGTATAGTTCCCCTCTCTTCAGGTAGTGGTGCTCCTTCCTCCTACTTCATATAGCATGCAGCAATTTTCCTAAATCTTGACTCTTAAAACTTTTGCCAATAGCTAGTGAGAAGCCTCACTATATGCAGAAGCATTGCTATTGGGAAGTACTACACACGTGTTCCTCTGCAACAGTCCCTCTGAAGATCCTAAGAGATCAAAAGTGAGTAATGATTCTAACCAAAAACATTTCACCTGTCCTTTCTGGATGTCAGCAGCAGTGCTCTCAGTACGTATTTTGTGTGTAAATTATGTCAGGTGAGGGTGAATCTTGGTTCATATGAACTGAGCCAGATTAAACACATGGGGTTAAGCTCTTTGGAAGAAATTCACTAAAATGAATGAAGATTAGAGAAAATAGGGAATCAGTAGGTCTTATAAGCTTTGAATGAACAGGTTACACTATTCAAAACAATTTGAAAGCTGTTTTAAACTGAAACAGATACTTCATGTGTTATAAAATGCAAATCAAAACATAAATAGGTCATTTACTCCAGGCAAAGGAGAACCGTTAAAAGATTCAGGGGGCGAGAGGAGTGTAAAATGTAATGCAAGAACAGACGTGAAAGCTCTGCCCAGGACAGAATGGACAGCAGGAAGAAGGGTGACACGGTAAGACAGGAAGGATACTTCTGCAGAAATACTGCAACAGAAAGATGGAGCTACGCAGACTAACTTTGGGACATCAAAGCTACAGCTAGGCACTACTGCTCTACAGTAGTTATTTCTGCTTTATTCAATTGCTGCTAGATTAAGATATAACATAAAAAAAAAAATTTAAGACAGCAACTCTACAGAACCATGAACATAGTCAAAGTTACTCACCTGCAAGCGATGCCTCTGGACTTTGCTGATCTGGTCTGCCTTTGCTTCCATCTTTCGCACCAATGCCTCAAGTTCCCTCTCCAGATCTTCCCTCGCTGCAATGGTTGGGGCTTCCCGGACAAGCTTTGACAGCTGTTGGTGATCACTGGCATGGAATTCAGACAGAACAAAGCCTGCATCAGACTCCCTTGGCTTCTAGCGCTCGTACACCCAGTTCAGAAATAACACTTCTAGGAAACCATAGCATCAGCAGCCAGACCTGTTCAACGTGCTGTTAACAAACCAGTAAGAACAGTCTGGCTGGTTAGCAGCATTATTACAGTAGCACGTCTTGGCGGCAGGCGGCTGCAACATTAAGTCCCAATAACATAAGTAGCTTCAAACTTCAAATCACACACTCAAAATGACCAGATAATCCCCTGAGGGCATGATTTCAGCACTCATACAGTTATTTGTTTGTGTATCCGTATCTACTGCAGTTGTGCAGTAGGTTAACAATTCATGTTCTGTTAACCAGGACAAGCAGAACGACGAGTAAAGCTGTCATTTAATGGAGTCTTTGTCCACTGCATCAGAGGCTGTTACCACACTGCTCCCCTACCCCTTACGAGTTCAATACTCCTGCATACGAACACAGGGATGGAGTCCAGACTGTTCATCAGAATCTCTCTTTAACCACAAGGAGAAATGAAAGCCTCCGCAGCCAGTATAACAAAGAGATTATATGCTGGAGACTTCCTAAAACTCCTTTCTTGGGGAAAACCTTCCAACTTTAAAGCAAAGGGCAAAATTATAAAGCATGTACATTCATAATCTGGAATAGAGAATATGCCAAACTCACAAATTCATCTGTCCAAATTCATCTTGTAAAGTCAACAACACTTCTGAGAGCTCTTCCTGGGATGAAGAAGAGTCCTTTGGCAGAGATGACTTTCTGCTTTTGTCAGCAGGATGACCAGTACTGACGGGTTTTACTAGTGGAGTATCATTTACCACACGACTGTTACACAAAGCTTTCGTGTGTTGTTTCATCAGGTGTAGGACATGTTGCACATTGGCACCAACTGAATGACTGGGACTGGTAGACTGGAAGGAAAAGTAAAAGAGATTTCTTTAAAATGGCATTGTCAACAACCTACTTGGTAAGAATGGAGAACATTTAAAAACAATAACATTTTTGATTTGCTGCCAAGAATCTATTTTTTGTTTGAATAAATATGCACCAACAAGAACAGCTTGAACAACAGCATAGAGAGGACCCATTTTTGGAAATGCCAGTTGTCAGCATTTAAGGCTGGACTGGCACTGTTTTAGCCAAACCAGGACACCAGTTCACCAAGTCAGCGATATTCAACAAGCCTTTTGAAGACAAAACTGGAATAAAAGAGGCAAAGAAAATTAAGTGATCTGACCACTGGATGTCAGGAGTGCACCAAGCCAAAGCCACTTTAGCGGCTGCAGCTACGGAGCATTAAGCTTTGGAATTAAGCAGCTCACCTTCCCAGCTACAAAGGGTACATCCCCCAGACACAGTCTGTAATGGGGCTGCGTAGTGAGATGGCTTGTAAGAGAGCATTTCTGGAAAAAAAAAAAAAAAAAAAAAGAGAGAAATGTTTATCAAAGATGGCACTACAGCAAACCCGTTTTCCCTTTGCTTTGTAATAAAAGAGGCAATCTACCTCCTGACTGCATGCACACCCCCTCATTTAACTCCTCAGTAATTGCCCTTCTCTTCCCCCCCATGTTACCTTCTCTGGCTGCTTAGTTTTTTTCCTGGGTTTTCTTGCTTTTGGAGAAAGCAATGGTGATGCTGCTTGAATCAGTAGTCTGTTGGTTTCCAGGCCTGTCTGAAGCTTTAATTGAGGGAATAAGGGGAGTTACTAGAATTATACTAATAGATAATCAGAGACAGAGTAAGCTGAGAATTTCAAAACAAGAATTTTTAAAATACAGGTTCTCTGAAAGCATAGGCTGCAAGTTTTTAGGATGCTTTTGCAGTCCAAGGTCAATTTAAACATTAAATAAGAATACTTCCTCTGGTAGCACTACTCATCACTAATCCTAGTGAGTCATAGACTTAGTCTTACTGCATTACTCCCATGCAGGCAAGTGCCAAAACATCAGCTGCGCTTTACATCTGACAAAATATTAGGGAAGTCGAGCCACTCAACCCTGCTCAATTGATCCTGTGGCACATAGTTAACAGACAACTATTCTTTCTGTTCTATTAAATTTGACAGTAAAAAAGCACCAGACCACCTATTGGAAGAGTTAAGATTAGGATTCTCACTGTCAACAGTGAGCTCTACACACTTCGCTGTTCCTTCCAAGAGGAAGCTATGGCATGGCTTTAGAAATCATTTCCTAACCATTCTCAACTAGAAGCATTCACAGAACAATTATTCATGATTAATTTGAGACACCCTTCCCCGTACACCCCTGCCCCCAACTCATGGCAAAGGTTAATGCTAGAGCCTAACGCGTTACCTACATGCTCCTTCAGCATATCATGAACATTTAATGAACACAACATTTCAAGGTTAGGAGAAGACCAGTGTCCTTATTGGCTCATAACCAATAGTATGTTGCCTCTTTTTTGCCTCCTTCTACAATATTTCTATTTACAATTATGAACAAGGGAGCATGCTTGTTGACCTTGATCTATTTAAAGCAGAAATCCTCATACATCCTCAACTATGAATCAATCAGTCTGAATTTCTACTCCTCTTTTCCAATTAGCTTCTTTTATTGAAGAAATCAAGCTTCAGTGCACAGCTGCTGTTAGAAAAAGGTTTCCAAAAAGCTCAGAGAACTTCAGAACATTTGGCACCTCGGACAGGACAAAGGAAAAAAAACAAACCTCAAACTAAAACAAGGTTTTCATTATTCTATATATGGGGGGCACTTTCAGCAAGTTTAGTTGAAAAGTTGATGGAAAGGAAGAGCTAATTACAGTGCATACCAGTACAAAAGAAATTTCCTGTTGGTTACCTCAGCTGCTTTTTCCTGAACAAGCTTCCTCGCGTGTTCTTCCTCCTGAAGCTTCTGTTCCAGCTCTTTCATTTTTTTCTAGTCAAAGTTGAATAAAAATAACAGCATTACTAATGAAACAATTATTTTTTTCCTGAAGCCTACAATACTGAGAGCTTGAGCAGAAGTGTATGAGTTCAACTTATGACTTAAAGCTGAGTGAAGACTTCAGCATTAGAATGATTGCTGACGTTTTGTCTGTATAAGCATAAATACAGCAGTCAAGTGCTTATGCTTAAAACTTACATCAATTTTTCTATTTTTACTTCCACAATTGGTATCTGAATTGAAGTCACAGCCTACAGAGCAAACAATACACAAGGCTGTCTTTCTCTTTGGTTGTAAAAAATACCCTAGAAAGTAGGTTGTTTTGTGTGCATTATCCTGAAAGATTTTGTACTAAGGGCTACAAAGGTCTATCATGTATCATTATAAGCTGAGAGAAGACTCACTTTATTTAGACCGCTAATGGTATTTTTGCTAATATCTGTAACGTAAGCTCTTAGAAGAGAGGAATTTTTGAACATCTAGCCACCTTCCTAATAAAGAAGAAGCAGGAAAGTTTCTATGATGCCTCTGAGATATCTTGAAGCAAAACTGAAGTGATTCCATCTTTTTATGGTAAAAAGATGTAAGACCTCTTTTGAAAGTCCTTTTCAAAGAAAAGAGTTAAGGGGAAAGGCACACATTTCTTTGTAAACCCTCCAACAAGATGAAAACCTTGTTTAAACAGGATACACTTAAACTCCCAATGTCAAAGTTATTTGATAACTTTCTGATTTTATACAGCAGAGTGAAAAAAGGATCCAGAGCTCCAGGACACACAAAACAATTTCCCTTCTCTTCCCCCAAAGGCCGATTATTCACAGAGCCACTAATCAAACTTAAGGCAGAAAAGCATGCAATTCAAAGTAATAGCTATATTTGTACACTTCTGTTTGTTTATAAACCCGCTACACTGATAGTAAATATTTCAATTCTGCTTTACTTAAGCATTAACTGCAAAATTAATGTAACCAGCTGTTATAAAAAGGTGTTAAAAGGCAAAACCTTGGATAAACATTAAAGACAAAGGTACTACGTAAAGGAACCAACTTTTTCTGTTGAATAAAAGAATCCTTTTGACTTTTTTTTTTTTTTAATTCAAATACAATATATTCCAGGTAACTTAAAATCATCTTCTGCCCTTTACAGTACACAGCACAATTCTTGATTTCCATGTGGTCAGTCTCACAAAAATCTTTGTTTAACCTGTTAAGTATGACAGAATTTTTAATATGAAAATACTGAAGCAAATCTCTTTTTAAACTGAAGACTGACATGAAGCTGGGCCAATGCTTTTATACTGAAATGAAGGAGTATTCACTCAGCCAGCATTTAGCTGCAGTGTGCAGCTCAAACTGCACAGCAAGAGTGTATCTTACTGTGTTATCAGCGATAGACTCTTAGAAATTATCTATCCAAGTTATATTCCCAAATGAAAATTTTTTTCTTGCTTATAGAAGAAAGTATTACATGGATTACTGCTCCACCACTGCGAGGGAGAGGCCAGAGGGCCAGCTAACAGCAAACACAGACGCTTCCCAGCCATGCTGCCCAGCATGTAAGGTAGCACGGCACAGAATTTTAAGCACGCTGCATGTCAGCACGGGGCTGCCTCAAACACTCTGCTCAGTCACCAGTAGCCACTGCAAAAAATTTCAATTAAAAAAAAGAATTAAAATATTTCAATGTTGACTTTTGCCTGTTTTCTAAGGGAAATTAAGTTTCATGCAATCACCTGAGTCATAGAATAGTTTAGGTTGGAAGGGACCTTTAAGGGTCATTGAGCAGGGACATCTTCAACCAGATCCAGGTTGCTCAGAGCCCCGTCCAACCTAACCGGGAATGTTTCCAGGGATGAGGCATCTACCACCTCTCTGGGCAACCTGTTCCACCACCCTCAGTGTAAAAAAATTTCTTCCTTACCTAGTCTGAATCTACCCTCTTTTAGTTTAAAACCATTACCCCTTGTCTTATTGCTACAAGCCCTGCTAAAAATCTCCCTCCATCTTTCTGATAAGCCCCCTTTAGGTACTGGCAGGCTGCTCTAAGGTCTCCCCGAAGCCTTCTCTTCTCCAGCCTGAATAACCCCAACTCTCTCAGCCTGTCCTCACAGCAGAGGTGCTCCAGCCCTCGGATCATCTTTATGGCCTCCTCTGGACTCGCTCCAACAGGTCCACGTCCTTCTTGTGCTGAGGACCCCAGAGCTGAAGGCTGTACTGCGGGAGGGGGTCTCACCAGGGCAGAGGGGCAGAATCCCCTCCCTCGACCTGCTGGCCATGCTGCTTTGGAAGCAGCCCAAGAGAGAGTTGGCTTTCTGGGCTGCCAGCGCATATCGCCGGGTCATGCCCAGCTTTTCATCCACCAGCACCCCTAAGCCCTTCTCCTGAGGGCTGCTCTCAATCCCTTCATCCCTCAGCCTGTATTGATACCAGGAGTTGCCCTGACCCAGGTGCAGGACCTTGCACTTTGCCTTGTTGAACCTCATGATGTTCACATGGACTCACTTCTCGAGCTTATCCAGGTCCCTCTAGATGGCATTCCATCCCTCAAACAACTTTAACCAAAGAAGACAGAAAGTTATGTGACCTCAAAGACACAGAACACCTAAATTTTGTAGAAATTAGCTGCTGGGATAAACATCCAAATTAGTTTCACCTAATGAAGAGAAGAAATGTCTCCAAGCAGACAGCTTTTACCTCTGTGCTTCACTACCTTGCAAATTAGCACCTGCTTGACAGCTGAGCAGTCAGCATATATCCAGCTGAAGCAGGGCAGGTTCTCACCACCTGGCAATTAGAGGAAAAACTAGAGGTGTAGGTAGTGTACAGCCACAACAGGGTCGAAGTGTTCATTACCTCTGTTGTTCACAGAATGGTAGGGTCTTATTAAGTCTCATTGGTAGCATTAAGATCAATTACTACCAGCTACAGTTCTTCAAAAAGCGTCACCGACGCATACATTCAAATCCTGGCCATCTGGCCACACACAAGACCAGACCCCAAATTGCGTTTTTAGGGAATAAGCCCATTCCCTTACTCCATCCTCAGACATAGACATGTTCAGATCTTCTCAGTCAGCTATCCAGAGACTGCACTGCAGGACTACAGTTGCAATAAACTTACACTAGAAAATGCTTTTGAGGCAAGTACTCCAATTATGAGTACTTCCCATGAATAAGAGCCTCAGCATTTCCTTTTCACGGGCAGTATTAACTTTAGCAAATTGAAGGTAATACTTACAGGGCCAGGTAGTGGCTCTGCAGAGATTAAATTATCTCAGTAAGACCCAAACACAACTTGTGCTCTGGCAGTGTCTGAAATCAGAGGCAGTTAAATCATTGCTTGCTCATGAGTAGCCACCTCACCACTTTCCATCCATTTCAGCACACCATGTATAGAAATAGTCTTTCTTATCTATTTCTTGCTTTAAATTCAACTTGGAAACGTTCCTGTGGTCTTACCACAATTATGGCAGAGATCAAAGAGGCAACAGATGCAACTGTTTTGAGTAGAGAGTGCAGTCACTCTTTCAGGATTATAAGGTAACACTTACGTACTGGTTTTGGCTGGGATAGAGTTAATCTCCTTCACAGTAGCTGGTGTGGGGCTGTGTTTTGGGTTTGTGCTGAAAACAGCGCTGGTAACACAAGGATGTTTTCGCTACTGCTGTGCAGGGCTTACCCAGAGCCAAGGCCTTTTCTGCCTCTCACCCCACCCCAGCAGCGAGGAGGCTGGGGGTGCACAAGGAGCTGGGAGGGGACACAGCCAGGACAGCTGACCCCAATGACCCAAGGGATATCCCATACCGTGTGACGTCATGCTCAGCATATACAGCTGGGGGAAGAAGGAGGAAAGGGGGGATGCTCGGAGCGATGGTGTCTGTCTTCCCAAGTAACCGTTATGGGTGATGGAGCCCTGCTTTCCTGGAGATGGCTGAGCACCTGCCTGCCCATGGGACGTGGGGAATGAACTCCTTGTTTTGCTTTGTGTGCATGCACAGCTTTTGCTTTCCCTATTAAACTGTCTTTATCTCAACCTACGGGTTTTCTGACTTTTACTCTTCTGATTCTCTCTCCCATCCTACCCAGGGGGACTGAGCAAGTGGCTGTGGGGGGCTGAGTTGACGGGTGGGGTTAAACCACAACAACTTAGCACACAGATGCTCACATAGGAACATAGCCTACAAGCAGAGAGGCAGACTGACCTGTCAATCAGAAAGTGGCTCATGACAGCATAATGATCACAAGGAAAACAACCTCTAGTCACAGCTAAACCCAGATGTCTCTCAGTTCCCAGAATTGTTTCAAAATTGTGTGAATTTAACACCCAATTCCACTAAAAGAGATTTAACTATGACAGCTACTAATATCAAAGACATCTACTTTGATCCAGAAAAAACCAAAGAACTGTTAGGCTGAAATTATTTTCACCAGCTAGGCACAAAAAGACAAACAACCCAGCCCCACCAAAATCTAGCTGCTACCAGTCAAAAACTTGGTAAAGGCCCTTCCAAAAGGGATTCTGGTTGCTGAACTAGTTATTTCAACTCTGACCCTGGAGGAACCTACGGCTACTTTCAGTGAACAAGACCCAGGAGACATCATTTCTCTTTACAAGAGTTTGGTCCAAGTAAACAATGCAGGCACTTGTACTCCACAATTGCAGCTCGGCACAGTGGGGTGTCAAGACCTTAACAGCTTGTTACAGCTGCCTTGGGTTAGGGACTTCCAAGAATAGTTGTAGCATCTATAGGTCCTGCAGCAAACCAAGTAGCTAAAGATTTGCCATCAAACATCTCCTTACATATTCCTGGAAAAACACCATCTACTCCAGCACCCAGGGTGCAGGGTGGCAAGCCTAGAATTTTGATGAGAGTCCAGAGCCGAATTCAATACCACAATCTAATCATGTACTATCTGCTCCTTTCAGGGGGGCAGGGAAAAAATTTGAAGGTGGAAAGCCTCTCCCTGGCTAAGCCCTCTAAGCTTCAGAGTC